TTAATGTAATATTATAAATCACTAATAAATTTAAATTAATGTATTTAGTATTACATAAAAAAGTCAATGAATATAAAACTCTGAAAATAACCTTATTATTAATGATAAGTTTATTTTAAAAAAACAACAATTTTAATTGTTTTATTGAGTAAATAATTTAAAAAATAAGTATTCGCGGTTCTATAAAAAATCATAAGATATGAATAAATTACGATAAATATATTAAAAGTTATTGATACGTTCAAGAATCACATAAATTGTTGTCAATTGACCTTTTAATCTTTTTGTATGCTATAAGAATTGATACTTAGAGTGTTATAAATTTGAAAAAATTATACGTGTAATGTCTTTTTTAACTAAATAATAAGATAGAAAATTTAATGATATATTAAAATTTTTTAAAAATTATAAAAATTATTTTTTTTTATAAAATGATTGAAGTGAAAATTTGCTTATAAAATCTAAAAATTTAGAAAGAAACATATTTTAGTGAGCATCATTTTGAAAATAATTTTTTATTAAAATAATATTAAAAAATCAACTTGAGGATAAGTTTTTTTCACTTTTTTTATGAGTTTCAAATTATCTTATAAAATAATAATTTAATTATTATCAATAATATAAAATAACTGTTATATAAAATTCTCAAATTATTATCAAACATGATAATATAATCATAATTAAATGATCTTTAATTTTAAAGAAATCATAACATACTAAAATACTACATGAGAGTGATTTATAATTTTCACTTGTAAGCATAGTATTGAATTTTGAATTGACTATAAATTATAAGTTTAGAAACCAATAACAAACATATTTTTACAATTGGCCCAATCCATTATTAGAAACTTTTAGAATTGATCCTAGAAGATTGATCTACTATCTTAGATTATCATGCTCACCTCTAAATGCACGACATGGAAGTGGGTTCCTAACATAAATGAAATCCACCTATACACTTGTTTTTGGATATTGAAGGTGACAAGATTCCCATTAAACTCTTTGAGTTAAAAGAAAAAAATGCACTAAAGCATTGTGTCAAGTAAACCGGTAAAGACTGACAAAAAAGTACTAGTGGTTGGTTACAAATTTTATGAATTTCATAATGTCATTCCTTCAAAAGGATGTTGAGTGGAGCTAACTTTTGAAATGATTTAGCCCTTTTTATTTTAATAAAAGATGAAATTATAATAGTCCAAAAAAAAAAAATAGAAATAGAAATGCTCAAATATATAATATAAGCAAAAAGTTGTCAGCTTTCATGGAATTGCCAAACACTGAGTCGTCGAAGTACATATTGAACATTCAAGTAGTTAAAATGAGTAACTTCAAAAGCAGGGGAAACACAGCAGAGATACGTTAATGCAACATCATGCAGATTGCAGAGCAGAGCACTATCCACGTGAGCCCCCCTTCCCCCCTGCACCTGCACCTGCACCTCAAACCCTACGTGGCCTCTCCCACAAACAACAACAGCAACAACAACAACAAACCACTGTACTTGACTGTGCTACTGTTTCTATTGCTGGCCAACTAAAGCTACCTCATTCTCTCTCTCTCTCTCTCTCTCTTTTTTTAAATTTTTAACCCTTATCTTTTGTACAGGTGGTGAGAGAGAGACTTGCTTTTTGCAGCAAAAGCCAGCAAGTACAACTAAAAAGGGTGTTTCTTACTTGGAAGCAACTTAGTACAGTGAAAAAGAATTTGGTCATCATATCATAAGCCATTTTTTGAACATTGAGTGTTTATTTCTTTCTTTTCTTTTTTCTTTCATTGGAAGTACCCATACATTAAAAAAAAAAAAATGGAGAAACCCCAGGGACCCTACCTGACCTGAAACTGCAACTAACCCAAAGTTTAAATCAAACTTTTTTTCGTTGATGATACGATCAAGTATCCCCACTTTAATCCCCACTTTACCATCAAATCCTCTTCGTGAATAATCTTAAGAAAGTTCATATCAGACTGATGCATGAAGAGTAACAAGAACATGGTTATTTCTAATTAATCAGTATCATGATTGTAGATCTTTAATCATGTTAATTAGACTAAACCTGAATAACAAATGCAGAAACCAGAAGTACAGTTAAGAACAACGAAAAAAAAACATTCACCAGACATAATGACAACAGCATAGGAGAGAAACACTGAATCATAGATCTGTACTGAACATTATGCGACAATAAATTTGCACCAATTATAATGAAGGCATAGTAAAGATTTGAAAACAATATCTTATAGTGATAGAAAGAAATTTTCAATGAATGGCTATCAATGATAGGAAATTGGACCATAATGAGAAGGAAAAGGGGGAAATTTTCCATCATAGCTAATCATCTGTAAACATTGATCAATGTTTACAGGTGATTTGCTATGACGGAAAATTTCCCCACAAAACTTTTCTTCTAGGCCATTTCTCTTCCCATGTGGATTAACATAGCATTCAACCAGCCACGTACGCCAAGTTTTCTACTTTGTTCTTTCACACATCTGATGTCCACGATCAAGACATGAATACAGAAAAAATGCAAATAATGCCATTTGGTGACACACAGCTCTGTACAGATGAATAGCAACACAAGGTAAAAAGAAAATTGTGATATACTTTTTATGATATTGATCTTCTCACAGGTTTTCATCTTTTTCCTTCCAGCAAAACACAAAAATTACAGGTAAATTTTGAAAGAGATAGCACCAAGCCCTTTGATCTTGCACATCTGTAACAGAAATTTTCATATATAGGTATATGACATCACTTTGCAGTTGATTTTGCATTGTTGGTCATGCAAAGTTCCTACTTCGAATTACCACTTCCAAAAAAAAAAAAAAAAACAGATACATGTTCCATCCAGAGAACAGAAACAGATAATCTGATATCTTCACCATATTGAAAAATCCTCATCTTTGATTATGTTACAGGGAAGTAAGGACAAAAAAAAAAAAAAAATCCACAATCCCATCTCAGTACCCCAAGGCAAACTCACAAACGTAAAAAGAGGTTTTAACAAATAAATGAAGAGTTACAACATCTATAAAAGTTTTTCACTTCAGATATAGCTAATGATTGGTTTAGTCATGGCAATTGCTGTCAGATGCATCCTTCTGTAAATGAAAAATTTTACACTCAAAGATAACTGAAGCCATAAATCCATGAAGTAATCCATGCATAATGCTTTTGTTATCAATTAAGGATAAAGAATAATGCAACCTAACAAAACACCAATGAAAAGCGAAAACTTGTTAGGGCAAATTTGTTAGGGATGTGAATTGCAACGTCACAAAATGTTATCATCCAAATCCATCTAAATCTTTGCAACCAAAGAGTCAACATAATCACACATATGAAAGTGAAAGTTTCTGCAAGATTCTAAATTCCAGAGAAAATAGATCCAAAAGAAAGAGATGAACTCTTTCCAAACATGTCCCCCCAACAGTTTCACGAAGGATAAACTGCATATTGCCAGAGGCTCATACATTTGCAGGATATTCATGAATAGGTGTACTGTATTTTGGTGATCCAATATAAAAGAGATAAACCAAGACATTTATCTTCATCAAAAAATGACAGTGTGATAAAGCAACAGTAGAGATTGGAGACTAATGAAAATTTCTTCAAACTCTGGCGCTGGAAAAGCCAATTGAATTATTACATGCAACAACGCAAAATGTTAAAAATTGCATACTGTGAAGTTTCAAAAGAAAGAATAAATTGCATATTATAGACAGAAATAAAATAGCATAGTACAAAATTTTGTCGACAACTACCATCTGAATGCTGAACATAAGAATGAATTATAAGATTAACCTAAATTTTTTTTTTTGAGAAGTTATTTTCCCTCCCTAATGTATTTTGAGCTAAAGGAAGTTACTGCAGGTTGTGTGACGCTTGTCTCGCTGAAGGCAAAACTAAGTACTCCTAGACATTTAATAATATTGAGAGGCTGGCTTAAGCGAACAAAATTCATAGGTAATCTTCCAACAAGGTTATCCACCTAGTATTGACCAAATGTTCATCCCTGTTTTTCAAAGTTACCAACCCTGATGTACTTATGGATCTTAGAAATATATTTATTCTTTCTAGGTTTTTATTAATACATAAATATCTTCCTTAATAATTTATGTTTACTCTGTTTTGCTTTGGAATATTAACAATCTCTTATTTCTTTTCTGTTCCAAATTTTGTTCTCCACAAGTGCTTAAAACTAACCAAAAGAAATTCACATACTATATGAACCAAAGCAGAGAATAAATCATGTATTTTATCCTACTAAGTGTTTTTATATTCCTACTAAGGATGCTTGTACACTAAACTGTAGGGGGGAGATACTGGAATGACCATGGCTTACAACTTTTTCATGAAAAATAAAGCTACATAAACCACAATCCACAATACTTTGTCAGTAATGCAATAATACAATTAGTTTAAAATGTACTAATCACGCAAGAAGTCCTTAACCGAAATATGTAAATGTATGTACTGCGTAAAAAAATAATAACAAAAAGAAGCAGTAGTTAGTTGCAAAAAAAAAGGTTAAACATTTTTAGCTTTTATGATCTTTCTTTCTTCCTTCCTTTTTTTTTTTTGGGGGGGGGGGGAGTGGAATGGTGCTTTGGGGGTGGTGGTATGGAGACAGCAGGCCATTATTTATAGTTTTAACATATTATCTAAGTAATTGATCAACATGAGAAAATTGACATTTGGTGAAAGAAACTCTATGAATATTGTAAACAACCTAATGTACTGGGTCCTGAAATTATTGAACTGTGCATGTTCTACGTGACACCAACCTTTGACAAAACCCTGATGGTAACCAAATAAAAAAACGACTCTCTGACCCAACAAAAGGAAAAAGAGAATAGGCAAGACAAAAAAAAAAAAGACACAAAGCAATGAAATTTTGGTGACATTTTGGATAAACATTTTTAGCTTTTATGATCTTTCTTTCTTTCTTCCTTTTTTTTTTTTTTTTTGGGGGGGGGGGGGGGGGTTGTGGAATGGTGCTTTGAGGGTGGTGGTATGGAGACAGCAGGCCATTATTTATATGTTTTAACATATTATCTAAGTAATTGATCAACATGAGAAAATTGACATTTGGTGAAAGAAACTCTGTGAATATTGTAAACAACCTAATGTACTGGGTCCTGAAATTATTGAACTGTGCATGTTCTACATGACACCAACCTTTGACAAAACCCTGATAGTAACCAAATAAAAAAACGACTCTCTGACCCAACAAAAGGAAAAAGAGAATAGGCAAGACAAAAAAAAAAAAAAACACACAAATCAATGAAACATGATAAAACTAAAAAGGCCAAGAAATCTCCAGACTTCCTCCTATGACTGTATCTATTGATCTAAATTAAAACATGAACTTTCCCCAAAAGGAACGCAGAGATTACCCACTCTCCAGAATCCTTTCTCCTTGAAGGCCACAGCTGTAAGTTCCAGTAGAAAAGGACTTCATACAGCGACACAGTGCGACCAAAACTGGATGCACATTTCAGCATCCCATAACGGCACAGTTATACACAAAACTGCCAGAGGACTTTCTCTCGAGCAAGTTCCATTGTGGTGGACCCCCATTTGGAACCCAAGAGTTTAGCTCGATCATCCCTTCAGCTAAAGCCCTATGTCCACCAATAACAATTAGTTGATTCCCACATGCCCTAAATGCTAACCCCCAGCCATTCATTGAGACTGCTCGCTTGGGTAATTGCCCTAGTGTGACCCACAAGTTCTTGTCTTTGTCATATTTCCTCACTTCTTGTTGTGCATAATCAGCTGCATACAGCTCATTATTTACAACTGCCAGTGCCTCAGCAGCAGCAGGTGCTTCAGTTGCTCCAGCCCCCCCATTTCGTGCAGGGAACATATTAGGTATCTCACTCCACATCTTCGTCTTCAAATCATACACCTCTCCACATGTCAGTGTTTTTGAACTCCCAACCCCAATTCCACCAATAACATAAAACTTCTCTTCCATAAACACGGCAGAACACATTTTTCTTGCTTTAATCATGCTTGGAATGGTCACCCACTTGCCAGTTTCTGAATTATAAAGCTCTGCTGCGCTCAAAGTCTCTCCATGTGGATCACAACCACCAGCTAGAATTGCAATTTCACCCAGACTGGCAGATCCAAACAAGCACCTGGGAGTATTCATCTTCATCCCAGATGACCACGTGTTTGTCAAAATGCTATATCTATAAATAACATGGGATGTTATTTCCTTTCCAAAAACAAGAATTTCGGTCCCAACGGCCAATGACTCCTTATCCGAACACATGAAACATCCATTGGAGGTCATTCTGGGCAAATGCATCCATCGATGATGGATTGGATCAAAAGCCTCCCACTCCAGAAGGTTGCAAGAGAAGTAAACCCAATGTTCAACAATTCCCATTGCCCGCCTCAACCTGTACAGCTCACCACTCCGTATAACAGAGCGGAAACCTGCATTCAAAGATGCAATGGCACCATAATCAGACCTTGAGCAGCGGAGGAGACAGTAAATTGAGATGTCTCGCCCAAGCTGGTGGATCAGTAAACTTGATTCTGAATAATCACCATCATGGTGGTGGTTATCTGTTTGGTCAATTTGGGCAAGTGACATATTGTCCTCTGTATCCTTGTTCTCATCACCTTTGAGTGGCTTAAGAACTTTTCTTGCCCTCTGGTCTTCACCATCTTCCATCTAGCGCTTGCTTCTTGAGAGCTCAATTACACAAAAAGTATTATAAATCCACTTGCTCTCTTGCTCACAGGAGCTTGGCAAATCCCTCGTGACAAGATATGATGGGCCCTCCAACATGATCTCACGATTATACAATCCAAGCACCGGGAACGTTTCCTTTCTTCTTCATTATAATGATATGCAAAACTAAGCAGTCAATAAGGAAAATGACAACCCTCAATTACTGCATGAACACAAATATACTTATTTAGCTAAAAATGCAATTTTTAGAAGAATGATAACATTATCAATTCACATATCATAGAATTCTATTTTAAAAAAAAAAGGATGTAAAATCTCAGCAGAAACAAATGGCTGGAGACCTGATACAGTCTATTCATATATAGCACAGGGAATTCCAAAAAGAACTCGATTTAAAAGAAAAATAATTGGACACTTCTATCAACCCAAAAAAATGTAAAATCAAAAGCAACCAAGCAATAAGACAAAAAAATGCAACCGTTTTCCATAATGACAGATTACAACCTTGTTTGTCATCAGAAACAACATGCATAACAAGAACAATCTTGTAACCGAAACCAAGAATCCAAAAACAAACATATAAATAAATAAATAAAACTTACAAATTGATACTCTTTGCAAAGCTGAATAGCCAGAGAAATCCACCACATTAACGAGCAATGACAATTATCCAAAAATCAGATCTTTTAAATTCACAACCTATGGAGAAAAATAAAGATAAAAGATGGGAAAAAAGAGAAATTCATCAAGAGTCAATCACATGCCAAAATTTTTAGCAAATCAACAGTGAAAACCAAATCTAAATTGGTCTCCAAAAAAAGCCAAAAGAAAGATCTACCCTTCACTGAAATCAATACCATTTCACATAAAAAAAAAAAAAAAAAAAACCTCACCTTTATTTAAAAAAAAAAACAGATAACAACCCAGAAAAGGAAATCCAACAAAAAATAAAAACAAATAAAAAAAAGTCAGCTTTAACAATGGAAATGAGAAAGTAAAAAGAGTCCAGAAACCATCATAAAAGAGAAGAAGAAAAAAAAGCTTACAAATTGGATAAGAAAGGCAGGAGCTTTTAGCTATGGTTGCCCTTCAATTCTCTCTGGGAATCAAATTAACAAAAAAAAAAGCTCAATTTGTTGCAGATTCTGTCTCTCAGGGGATAGTTTATATTCGCTTTGAGCGAGAGAGACAGAGAGCTATGAAAAAATGTGTTAAGAGGGTAGACACCGGATCTATATTTTTTACAATCTAAAAAAATTAATTAGTTAAAAAAAATTAAAATTTTAAATTAAAAAAAATAAAAAAGAAAGGCAAACGAAAATCAACACAAAAAAAATCATAAAAACAGATCTACGAAAATCAACACAAAAAAAACCATAAAAATAAAAATCACAATCCTCACCGATTAGGTGAGAAACTCAGCATCAAAGAGATACCTGTAACAAAAAAAGAAAAATTATTAATTTGAGTTTTTTTTTTAAAAAAAGAAAAATAAAAAACTTCGAACCCGATCTACATTGATTGAGGTCGTTTTCGACGAAGGAGAGACCGAATCTAAAAAGATCGCGTCGAAATGAACTTCCAGGAGGATTTCAAAATTTCGAAAGGAGGATTTTGTTAGAAGCTCTCGATCCTTGGCTAGACATGAAAAAACCTTGCTTCTTGCTCTCTTTAAACACTCTCTATATTACAAGGGGTTTGGGGGTGATATGGTGGACTTTGAAATAGGAGGGCACGGGTAGCTTATAAAGAGACTTTTGAGAATGGGGATTGCACGACAAAAACATTGGTTATTTTGATTTACACATATACTCAAACAGGACCACATTTGTCACATATTTCTGCATTGCATAGGCCCACAACTATGGAAGTCCTGGTAATTAACTAATAAGTCTGCAAAAATGCCTTTGATTTTTGTTAATCCAAAACTTTAGCATATCTAAACCGACAGGTGTCTAAATTTATCTGGTATTTTGAAGTATATATATATATTTATTTATATTGTATAAGTAGAAGGCAAGAGAACATTAATATATATATATAAGAACTATTCCTTGGATGTAACTAATCAGGTTTTAAAGATTTTAAAATTTATATATACAAAGTACAGATGTTTACATTTTACCAAATTGATATACGTTTGTCCGTTGTATGTTTAATATTATTGGAGGCACAGCCCTTTTCTACTTGCCCCTTGCAATCTGCCCTTCCCATAGTCTCTACCCTCTGTTGTAGAACTTTTGTCTTGGTTTCGACTGACATAAATTATATATATATATATTTTTTTTTTTTTTTTCTGAAAGTTAAAATCCCATATTTGCAAATTGGCTAGATATGTTAGGATCTAGAGAACTGTTTAGTGATTGGATGAAAGGGGCTTGCAATTTGCTTAGACTGACATTGAAAAAATTGGATTTCAATGACTTTCAACTTTAACTCGATATTATTTTTTTTATACAGCTAAACTAAAGGTAGAAGTATAAACAACTCGAAAAACGACTAACTCAAATTCATAAATTATTCATAATTTATTCATTTTGAATTTAAAAATTACTCATAAATTATTTAAATTTAATTAAAAAAAATTTAAATTTAACTCATTCATTATTAAGCTAAATTCGAGCTATTCAAGTAACGAATCAAGTTAAATTTTAATAATTTAATATTTGAATCAGGAAACTCATGAGCTTAATCAATTTTTTATTTTTTTAATATATATAAATAAATAATAAAAATATAATGTTTAATGTTAATATTTAGAATTTTATCAAAATTAATCAAATCTATCTAGTTAAATTTGAATGAATTAATTAAATTACAGGCCAAGTTTTAATATGAAAAATAAAACTCAATTAAATTCTAGATTTCAAAAAAATCAATTAAATTATAAATCAAGTTCAAAAAAATAAATTTAATTGAACTCAAATTTAATTTCAAATTTCAAAATTTTAATTTGAATCAAACTTGACAATATATTAGACTCAATTCTATTCAATTAAATTCAATTACTTACTATTAAAAATGATTTAATTTACAAGGTAGGACTGGCTAAAAGGGACCCCTACGCCAAGTTGTTTCTAAAAAGGATCCATTCTGAATTAATTTGATGTAAGTTGAATATAACGTCAACCCTTTTTTTTTCTAGCACCACAAAATTCATGCAGTGCTGCATATACTACCAACTTGCGAAGTCTATCAAGTAATCAGCACCAAGCTATAAAAACAGTGCCTCTTCCACCATTTTTCTAGGCAGTTGTTGTGCAGTTAACCCATATGTCAGTGATCACTTAGCTTCCTAGCTCTAGTTCGTGCCCCCTCCTACTTCTAGCAGATTCAAATCAGCTGATATATGTTGCATATTTGTCTAATCAGCTCTATATATATTGGACATCCATGACAAGAACTGCATATGTTTGTGGGTGAAACAAAGCTTGATGTGACGATGCATTGAGGAAGAAGATCAAATTTAACGTGACTGAATTTAGGAGGGCAGGCACAAAAGTGACTGCTGCTGCTGATGGAGATACCATATAAGGGCTATAAAGGCAAATTGAAAAAAAAAAAAAAAGAAAAAAAAAAAAGAGAGGGGTGAAGGGGCAATAATTTTGGTGCTTGGAAGTGTTTTTGTCTTCATTTACCGACCTTATAATTTGGCCCTAAATTTCCGGTCACTGACCCTACTGTCTCACCGTAAATTATGTTGTCTGCATGCGCCATGTGGCATAGTGGAAACAGACATGTGAGCTCACCTAGCATGCATGGAATCGCTTAACGCGTCGAAGGAAAGGCTGAGGCTTCTTATCAAATCTTTACCCCTTTGTTTGTGACAAGAATTCAAAGACCGGCACCACTGTCGTTGTCTTTGGACCCCTGCCCTGCCCTCATCCTGACTTTTTTCTCCGAAACTTTGAGCAAAGATCCGACACTTGGTTAACCATTTAACGGTTTAACTGTAAAACTAGTCTGCTGTAATCTAAAATTATAAAGAAAACCCAAGAAAAAAGTTCGTAAATTACTTACTGATCAGATGACCACATGAATATATAGTTTTTTTGTTTACCCTAAGAACTTTTTTTTCAAAAGAAAAAATTCTGCAAACTTAATTAAGTAGTGGTAGTTCTTAAATTTTAAAATGGGCAAGATTTTGAATTGAAATTCTTAAATTTTTGTTAAGTTGTGTGGAATTTAATTATTATTTAACATTAATTATTTTTATGCAGAGTAAATATGTAAATTATATTTTGAGTTTTTCACCCATATCGTCTTAATTATTTTTTTTTTTTGTTGCAAAGGAAGGCTAATGCCTTATAAAGGGGAAAGGGAGATGACGAGGTCGAATCACATTTACATAACTTTCAACTTATCTCTTAATCATTAGGTTAAAAAAGAAAGTCATATTGTCTAATTATACTTATATTTAAAGGTTAGTGATTTAAAAATTTATTATCACATTTATAATTATTTAGAGTAAAAAAATTTTTGATTAATTCTAATTTTTAGAAAAAATCAGTATAAATTTGGTGTGTTCATTTTTGTTTTACACTTAATTTTATTATCGTTTTAATGAAATTAAGATTTTTAATTTTAACAATTTTAATTATCTGTATGTTTATATTTTAGTCATAAATTTATTAGACATGACTTAAAAAGAGAGATAGGTTTAGATCGATGCTCAAAAATCTGATCATTGCATGTCATGCATCATCTCACATTTTCATTGTCAACTTAAGTAATGTTCAAAAATTGAACCCTGATCTTTTATACCGGATATATCATTATGGAAACCTCGACAACTTAATTTGCAAGTGATTTGCTTGGACTTTAGAGCTGAATTATCAAATTACTGGACCAGAATATTCTCAAGGCATGCATTCAGGAGAAAGGAGAAGAAATTAATCTGCAATAGACTTAAGCAACTGTTCAAGTCTGACAATGAAATCTTTGACTGATGCTGTAATTTTATAGTATTATAGTAGTAGCTTTTGATTCTCAGAAATAACAAATAAATGCTGGCTGTAGCTATTAATGTTAATATCAAAGCTTAGTTCTTTCTTTCCTTCTATAAAAAAACCTTTTTTTGGTACGGAAGGATATATGGATCACAGAAGGTCTCTAGGGATTAGCAGATTTGTAAAAGGAAAGCATATAAAATTGTTTGTTTGTTGAAGGATTACCACAAGGTTTTTTGTATAATTAACTAATAATACTATACTATAATTTAATTTTAAAGTAAAAATTTTCATGTTTCGAACTTTTTATTGTTTTTCTTGTTTATATTTTCCAATAGATGAAATGCACCCCCCCTACTGCTACTGTGCAAATTACAAAAGTCTTTGAGGAGATTTCTTTAATCGTTGTTTAATCAGTCAATGGCCTATTTGCTAGGACAGACCTACTTTGGTGAAGCTTGTTAGAAAACCCAGAAAGACATCCTCATCTTTGGTCCAAAAACTTGCTTTGGAAAAGGAAAACATGCTTTTGTAGTTGGCTTGACGGAAATGCCAATGTGTTGCAATGCAAATAATTATCCAATTGTTTTAAGTTTTCATGGCAAGGAAAAAGAGTTAATCTATGAAATACTTCTTTTAGAATATTCTACTATATGTCAAGTCATAATTATATAATTAATTGTCATGAAAGGATTAGGATAACTTGGTGCATTGACCGCTGATTCAGCAATGGATTTTTGGATCAAGGGACGGCCTTAAACATCCATTCGGCAGCCAAAAAAAAAAAAATCATGATTAGATCTTAAACAATATCGAGAGATTAGCATTTGTCCAGTGCTGTTCTAAAGCAACATGATTTAAGCAGCAGAAAAAAAAAAGCAAATAAACCAGTTCATGTTTTCTGCAAAGGAAACAGTGGGTACAATTCAATTTTATGAGAACAAAGTAAGTAAACCTCAACAAGTTTCAACTCTGCATTTACAATTGATAACAATGATGCTAAAAAAAAAATAACAAAACAGTATCATTTTCTTTATTATTGTATTATTTTCTGAAACAAATGGGTTAATCAAATATAACACAGACCTAAAGTCTCTTTCTTAGTTATATGTCCAAGCCTTCTACTTTGTAAATACTCTGTTCTTCCCAATTTTTTCTACCTCAGCTACACTCAAATGTCTAATTCCATTCTCCTTCATCCATTTCTCTCCTCCTGTGAGGATACCCTGAAGTTGCTTCTTTTCCATCTTCAACAACATCATGCCGTCACTTGCTTTAGGGAAGAAACCTTCCGGCCTCAAACATCAAACCCTGAAACTCCAAATATGACCTCTGGATCATACCCGATCTCTCCACTCCATCATCATGAAACTTCACATTGCTCATAAGAATGCCATTGAAAATCAACCGATCCACCCCGGCTGCCAGACTCCTCCAGATCCCAGTAAAGTCTAGCCTGTTTAAATTTTCTCCTATTACTGACATTTTCCCCTGCAAATAATCGAGGGCCTCAACCAATGTTTTCGGTAGAGGCCAACCTTCTTCACTCTTTTCCTGCCATTGTGTGCTGTTTTCCGAGTAATCTCTGCATTGGGCATCAAATCCTACCAAAACAACAACACATATCTTCTCAACCTACTGCGTTCTGAAATCCTCAAACTTAACAATCTCTTCATGGAAAATACCACTCTCATACTCTTCAAATGGAACCTCCGTACCACTATATTCAGCAAAAGACTCTCCAAGTTGATCACCTTGATCCAATCCCATCTCAAGGAAAAAGACGTCCTCACACCATTCTTTTAAAATAGATTCAGCATAGTGAGCTGCA